TTTTCATTATTCAATAACCAGTCGGAGAACCGCTTGTGTTCCGGAAAATAAATATGTGTATTCAATCGTCCTGCATGTTCTTCAAATTTGTCTTCTTGTGATTTTTTTTCTTTACTCAAAAACTAAAGTTGCCTCTCAAAGGAAAGTTTTTTGACATTGAAGAGACAAAATTAATATGACATCTACTTTTAGAGGCATGTGAAAAAACAGATCTCTACAAACCTTTCTCTTCCATTACATGTTGTGCAGTCAGACAAAAAGTTACATCAGCCGTAAATTCTATAATCTATTTTTATTACACTCTGATTACTTTATTAACATACAGTGAATATATACTAAATCTTTAACTTTAGCTTAAGTAATTCGGAATTTTTGACGGAATTGTTGTCGGAACTAGGACTTAGTAGATAAATTAAATATTTCGATAACCCAGTAAATTCAAGTTCGAAAAATTTCAATATTTTATTTTCGGAGGGAGGGGAAATGTTTTCAGTTTTGGTCCATTATACTAAGTATATTTGCTTCGATTTTTATTTTTCCATAAAAGCGAAAAAAAATTTTACGCATGGTAATACAATAATGCATAGCTTCAAATTAAAATTTAATATATACAGAGTGGTTATAATTAAAGTTCCATACCTATTGAAACGGTCATAAAAGGAAAACTACTGGATCAAATGTTATCAAACTTGGAAATCGTGTAAAGGAGGTCATGGGAATTTATTTTCCGCGAAAAAAAGGAAGTTCGAAACCTCACCACCAGGGGGGGAATGGCGCTGTATGCAATATTGTTAAACGAAATATGGGTCGGAATCTAACTTAACCTTTTTTAAACGGGGGTTTAATATGTTGTATACCCTTAAGAAACTTTGAAGTAGGCAAATTATTATTTAAAGACGTTAAATTCGATATAAATGTCGAGTGCGCCATCCCTGTAAGTGAGAATTTCGTCCGTGAAAACCACGAATTAGCAATTAGAAAATGTGAGATCGCAAATCACTCTCACAAGTGCGTACAATCTGGAAATCGTTTTCTTACAGATCGCTAATTTGTAATTTTTTTTTAAGCCTGAATTCGGCACTAAAACGTGAAGATACTGATTTCAAAACGCTTTTAAAATCGATTTGGGCCAAAGAAATCTCTCATGTTATCTATCTAGTTCCCCCATTGCATTCTCCTACTGCATTCGATTTCATAAACAGTTCATTTCACACCGTTTACTGTTGAATGACAGCTAGTTTTATAACTGAACCATTTTTTTCTGAAGAGCAGTCGACAGCTGGACCACTGCGATTGCAGCTCACTTAGAGCCAATATTAAAATGTTTCGTGATATACATGAACTGCAGTAGTAACGTGGCATTTTAGATACTACGATTTTTATGCAGGGCTGGCACGACCTCAAGAGTGTCGCATAGTTACTTAGGCAACATTTCACGAATGAACGTCTTATAGGCCAACACTTCCCCTCTTCCCACCAGACCTCAACCTCTGTGACTTATGTCTATGAGGTTATCTCAAAAGCACTGTTTATGGTGATAATCTAAACAATTTGGCAGAAATGAAAAATGTGATACACTGATAACATTCCTCCTGATATGCTATGTGTAACGTGTATACGAGCCAGTTTCCCTTAAAAAGTCCTCCACGAAGGCATCCATCCCTTAAGGTAGATAGTTCTCGAGTGCTTTGCCGTAATCTAATAAACCAAACCAAAACCAAACCTGATATGCTAAGAGCTGCTGTTGAGAATGCAGTCACATGATTTAACTTGCTTTCGGAAAATGCTGGACGCTACATTGAACATGCTTTGTATCACGTTTCGGAAAATATTAAACACATTTTAAACAGATGTTTTCGTGTCTTATTTCATTTAACAATATTGTATACAGCGCCATTTTTCCCCTGATGGTGAGTTTTTTGAACTCTTTTTTTTTTTTTTTTTCCGCCGAAAATAAATTCTCATAACCTCCTTTACACGACTCCCAAGTTTGATAACATTTGGTCCGGTAGTTTTCCTTTTATGACCATTTCAAAGTGGAACTTTAATAATAACCACCATGTAAAATAAGCTTTAAAAGTCTGACAGTTTGGTTCAAGTCCCACTTTAAAAAATATATATATAAATATAAATTTTTATATTAATTCTCTTAGAAAGAAAGCATGTTTCAAGAAGCTAATTTTTCTCTCGCGTTATAGATTGTAAAAAAAAACATGATCTTTAATATGATTTAGATACGATATGATTGTTCAGCCGATATAAGAATCGGGTTACTCTGTGGTACAGAATAAACCCTGCTGGACTGTTTTTATTTCTTTGTCATTTAGCAAAAATCTTTAATTAAAATATTTATCCTTTGGACTTTCGCTTTAAACTTTATTTATAGCTAAAAATGACTAGAAAATGAAAAGCTGTCTTTAGCTGAAATGCACATTCATGATGCAATTGAATATTTTAAAAAAATTGACAAGAATGCAAAATTGTATGGAAGTCTAGCAAGTCGAAAAATCCTTAATTTTCTTGTGTGAGCACTGAAAATAACTGTAGAAGGAAAGAAGAAAATTAGGGAGAAAAGTAAGCAAAAATTTGCAGGGAAATTTGGCTGTCAGACGTACCATTAGATGTTCAAAAGTTGGACGCTTTCGAATATACTTTCAGGGGATCTACTTCAAAGAAATTTAGGTGTTCAAAGAGAAAACACTTGGACGTGTACACCAGCAAATACCATCAATTGAGCTTGTGTTAACAGAAAAGACAAAACGATATATTGCAGATTAAAGAGCGACTGGTTTTAAACTATATGGTTGTGTAAATTACGTTATAGAACATCATATCGTATCATAAATGGTGAATCCCATGATTTCCTCAGTCGAATTATTTGAAGATTCAGGAGTTTATCTAGTGATGTATGTGGATTTCACTTAAAGATGTTTTTTTTCCTTCCTGATGAAACAGCGGCCGAGCGGTAAAGTCGCTGAACACTGGTAGTTCGGTCCGAGGTTCGAATCCCGCGTACGGGCTGGCTGCATGGGCGTTTTCGTGGTTTTCCCCATGTGTAATGTGTATGCGAGCCAGTTTTCCTTAGAAAGTCCTCCGGGAAGGCATCCCTACCCTTAGGCAGATAGCCGTAGTGTGCTTTGTCATAATAAAATAAAACAAAACTATTTGATGAAACCAGTCTTTCCTTTCATCTCATAGCTTCAAAATGTTTAGCCTCTAAAGACTGATAACGGCTCTGACGAAATACTTCGTGAAGAACTTTCTAAGGGAAGCCAGCTGTCATACGCGGTACACATGATAAAATCCACGAAAACGCCCATGCAACCAGCCCGTTTATCGGGGTTCGAACCCCGGAGTGAACTACCAGGGTTCAGCAACCTTACCGCTCAGCCGTTTGTGGGCCTTTATGAAATGGAAGGCGATAACTTTATTTAAAATGATTGTCAGAAATACCAAAATGTTTCGAAAAGTTGGATACTTTTCAATATACTTTCAGAATGCTTAAAGAAACAGAGAAGAAAAATAAATTTTTTTGTAAAATTTAGTATTCGTATTTTTTTAAATTTAAAACTTTTCAATGTTATGATATTTGATTCTTGCGATTTCAAAAATAAAATATTTGACTAAAATATGAATAACATTTTAAGAAACCAAATGTAGGATAAAATTGTGTAAAGCAATGGGCACAATGATAAAACTATTTAAAGATTAAATTATTTTAATAAATATATATATAGTGTATGCAAGTCATCCTAAGTTAAAATATTGGTTATACACCTCTCTTATTTATATATATTTTTTCTGAACGGAACATTGAAAGGCGTGTAAAACTGTGCTTTACTGTATTTTCTCTTTTAATATAGTATGCAGTTTTCAAACGCATCGTAGTCTGGGTTACAAACTATTCCTCCGAAAAAAACGCAGTTCAAATAAATAAAATCAAATTCTGGAAAATTGATATTAATAAATATATTTAAAATGCTCAGTTCGAAGGAAATAAATAGAAAATTTCAAAACAATTATCTGAAGAGGACAATGCAACACAAACAATTAAAATAAAAGTATAAAAATTTAAAAATGACCTAAAATAATAGCTATGACGAAAAAAATATATATACAGAAAACTATTTGAAAAAAAAAATAAACGCTGCAACCTTTATTTACGCAGTTCGAATAGGTAAATAGAAATTTTTAAAACAGTTATTTGAAAAAAAAAAAAAAAAAAGAAAAAAAAAAAAAAAACGTGCAACTTAAACAATTAAAAATGAATTTCGAAAAGAAAAAATTAATAATAAGTTATAATTAAATTCTGTTATAATTTATAATATTAAATATAATTAAGTTATAATTAAATAATATAAGTTCTAATTAAATAACTTATTATTTTTAATTTAACTTATATAAGTTATAATTAAAAATATAATATAAAAAATATTATTTGGAAAAAAGGAACGATGGTGACTTTTTTTCCTAAGGAAACTAGGTTGCCATATATTAAGAAGTTTGCCAAGTGAAGTATTCTTGGCGCAAACTGACAAAAAAGTGCCAACATAAATTTGTGAATTTCTCCGTGAATTTCGCTCCAAACTTTACAAAATTTCGTATTTAGGCGTAATTTGAGTCGTAGAATCGAAATATGTAAAAAAATTGGTATGTTATTTCAGAAAAAGTCCAATTTTGTGTTAAAATACCTATGTTAGAATAGTGCTATATATAAATCTAATATATATCCTAAGTCGCGCTTTCGAGACATGAAGAACGCAATTTGAATTTTGTCAATCGGCCCAGTAGATCGGGAGATATAGGACTGTCCCATTGTTTTTTTGAGCAGTGTACCTACTGAAATAATATATATATTTCATTGCAAAAGGACACCAATAGATGTTGGCAACGATACATGTAGATGAGTCTAAGTACTATTTTATGTGAAATTTAAAATTGATAAGATCATGGATCTGTTTTATATTATACTAAAAAATAAATTTTTATGTAATCTTTAGTGAGCCTGAAGTTTTGATATGTTCAAAACATGTAAAGGAAGAAGATGATGAAGAAACAAAACAGATACCTGCTTCCTTGGTAAGGTTTAATATTATGCCTGAAATTATTAGTAGTTAATAGGTTTTTCTCAATTACATATGCTGGGTATGAATTCCATGAATGGTGCTAATTGTTTTTAAAGTTTTTTTTTAAAATATATATAAATTTGTACCTAAAAGTATTTTGTTTCAGTTTTTAAACATATTTGAATTTTTTTCTATTAAAAAAATCTTTAATCATGTTTGACAGTAACATTTTTTTATAAGCTCAAGTTTATGCATGATATTTCGCTGTTTCAAATTTTGTGTATTCACACTTTTGCAAAAAAAAAAAAAAAAAAAAAAAAAAAATTGAAGCACAATGAAGGAAGTTGTTGTTTTTGATGAAATTGAATGTGTGTATAGCTGACACACAGATAATAAAATGATTATAAAATCAAGGTCATATTATGTGTTCACAGCTCACAATCATCCATTGAGTGTTCAAATTAGTAGCTGGTCGAACTGCCCCTGGTGGCATTGCATGCTTGAATTCCTCGAGGCAAGGAGTGGTAGAGGTTCCTAATGTCATCATGTGACATGTTCTGCCAGGCATTCATCAGTTGTTGCTCCAGATCTGCGATATTTTGTGAACCCCACCTCAGACTAGCGCTGTGAGATGGTGGACGTTACCACGGGAGGTATAGACGTGGCTGTAGTGCGCTGAATAGTCGATAATGATACAGTTAGAGCAGTTCGAGCCTGGCTAACAATCATCCTATCTTGCGTAGCATTTGTGATCCTTGACCTTCTAGAATCGTTTAGTTGTCTGTAAGGTCTTCGATATCATTGTAATGGCATCTTTAGTTACTTCTTTACGGAATTACAATGGCAACAACAAAAAAAGATAAATTTTCCACATCTGTTACTGGTTTTATACTTTGTGAATTGCACGCTAGAAATGCACGCTATGATCGCAATTCCTGTTCATTTGCCTTGAATCTTTGATCATTTGCATGTTCGAACAAGATGTTTTTGAATACCAAATTTCGTCAGGATCGCAAAAATTCTTGGTGCTTTGATTTTTTTTTTTGCAATGAGTGTATATTGTTAATCGAAATATACATACATCATTGAAAAATAATTTTCATTGAAACGCATAATGAAAATTCAATGTTATGAAGTGATGTTTTTCAAAATTGATTTAGATTTTTTAAATTTGATGATTAAACAATTTTTCACACATATTTTCTTTCAAGAAACAAATTAAACATACCAGAATTTTACTGTTTAGGCCATCTAATACAGGGGGAAATAATCTTTTCAATGAATCTTGTATGAAAATGGTAACTCTGAATTGTTGGTTAAATTTAGAAAAATTGCTCCATTTTTTTAGATTATTTTACATTTTTAATTTTAATAATAAATTTTTAATATATTGGATGTAAAATTTTGAATTTTTCACAGATTATAAAACAACTCTTCACCTCCTATTAAAGCAAGAGGGATTAAAAAAAAATTAGTGATTTTCTACAATAAAACAACTTTTCACCTCCTTTTAAAGCAAGAGGGATTTAAAAAAATTAATGATTTTCTACATTATATATAAAAAAAAAGTGTGTTGCAGTTTGAAACAGATGGGAGGGAAAAAAAAAAAAAAAATATTTCTCATGGAAAAGTTGCTTTTGAGTTTGCCATCTTGATGCACTTAATGAAGAAGTTTGTGAAGTGATTTCTTGGTTCTTTAAATGACATTCAGTTTTTTCTTTATTTAATAATTTTTTATAATTTATTGCTTGTGTTTTAATAGCGACTAAAAATTTAATCATTGGAAATGTGTAATTGAGACTAAAAAACAGAAAATAAATTATCATTAGAAAGGTTATTATCTTTTTATACTTACCAAATGGTCCTCATGCTTTCATTATTCATGAAATTAAATTGCAAATGAATTCTGTGAGTATAATTATTTAATTGATTATTCCCATTAAACTATGTGATAAATTATTGTTCTCCTTTTAGTCTATTAATTATCACATCCATTTTTAAGTAAAAGCCTTCTGTTTTATTTTGATGTTATAAAATATTAATTTCTTTCTAGAGAAAGGGTGAGGATTAATGTGAAAGCTTTATCTTTTCGTGGCGAAATTATATGAGCAAATTCTTATGTCCTATGAGCAAGTAGCAATTTCTTTTTCAGATATAGCATATTTAGAACAGTTTTTTTTTTAAATATTTAATGCTAAAATATATCTCATTAATTTTTGATACCAACAGTTAGGGTGGAATTTTTAAAATATGGTTTAAATAACATTTGCTATGATATAAGGTGTCTGAGCTGAATTTTAAAAATTACATGAATTCTTCTTTTTTTGCAAACAAAACAGTATTCTTTGAATTAAAACAATGTTATATACATGTAATGAACTGTTTTCTTTTTTCTTAAATATATAACATCAAATATTTATAAGCAGAATGTTCCTGTGGAAAATGATGATGTGTCTGAAGTTAGAACTTATACAGATTCTAGTACTTTCTTGAAGGTGAGTAAAAATTAATGTGGTAAATGTTATTTATTTATGATAGTTTTGTAGCCTATGTGCATATGACATGTACACTTTAAATTAATGCTTAAAAATCCTCGAAAAAATTTATTATATATTTAAAAAATTAAGCTGATCTGTGCTAATTTTGCTGTAAATTTCTGGCAAATTTGAAAACTTCATGTGTAAGATGAATTTAAAATTAGCTTATAAATGCAACTATATATAAAAAAATAATATTATAAACGTGATTCTTGCATGAAGACAATGTTGTCCAATTTTTTCTAATTTTAAATCATAACACGTCATATACATAAACATTTAGACTGAATTATAAACCAAGTATATAATTAATCAGGGAGTCTCTGAAAAATGAGGAAAAACTAAACTAAACCTAGTACACAAAAAATATATATGTTACTTTCAGAATTCTAAAAATTATAACAAACTTTTTCACAAGGTCTGCCGGGAAAAAATATCAGACGATTGCAAACGTCTGGTTGCGAAAGACAAAGATCACATGATCATTTTATTTTTCAACAATATGTATTGTCAAATGTACAAATATTCATCTAGTTTAGCTAGATGTATCAGATGTGTTTAAGGTGTCAGTTCATCATTAGCTTCCATTCAATAAATATTTAAAAGAACAGTCCAAGATGAAAGGAAAATTTTGGTGACAATAGGATCCCTTTAAATATCAGTATGCACTTTGTCATTAAATGATGAATTCCCAAGCAATTGCAAGATTTTTTTTGTCCTTGGTCATGTTATAATACCAATTTTGTGACTGAATTATTTTTGAATCATTTATAACTCATGTATGTGACTGAACTGATTGAGGAAATACTAAAAAATAAAAGAAGGGAAAAGAATGTAAGTTTTCATTTAATCGTATACTGTAGCCCACATGTTCAGTGTAAATGATGTATGTGGAAGAGAGGCATCCAATTTTTCCTGTCTCAAATATATACTTCTTTGAATTAAGGTTAGATTTCTAATTTTTCTGTCTTTTCTCAATATTATACAGTCAAAAGTCGTTAATTTGGACACCCATAATCCGGACATCAAAGCTACAAACATTCTGTGCATGCGTCGCTTTGTCGCATGCACGTAAGACCTTTACGGCTGCGCATATGCGTGTGTGTATGCGCATAATACGTTTACACATGCGCGTTTAATGTATAACGGACGGTATAAGCTAGAATTATCTAATTATCTATTTCAGCTAATGTTGCAGATTGTGTTGTTCCTTAATCTTCGAATTGGATCTGGTTTATTATTTTTTGCAGACTGTTAGAGCAATTTTATAAAAGTAAGCTTGAACTTTCGATTATGTCAAATAGAATTTCCAATGCTGGAGCTCCCAAAGGATCTACAAAGCGAAAGTATATTTCGATGTCCATCAAACAAAAAGTGGAATTGCTGGAAAAAATGGATAAAGGCATATCCTTTGTTTCTCTAACCATTCCGAAATCTGTTTATCAATTTCACGCTACTCTATGGCGGGGGGGGGGGACGCCGTGCCGCGCAATGAATTGGAAGTTGATCTGTCAGCACTATCCTTATCTTCAGAGCAGATGTTTTTATTTTATTTGGCTCATAATTCCTTACTAAATGTAGTATTTCATCTCAATGTACCCGTCTTTGATATGATTTAAATCAAATTCCTCGTCATTATAATTCGTCTCCGATAGCGAAGAAAGTAACAGAGGTTATTGAAAACGAAAAAATTTCAATTGACAAATTAGTCGGTATTCTTGACACAGCAATTATAGGACTTGAACAGCGGAACTTTGTAACTGAACAAGAAATTATATCTGTTTAAAGAATTAAAGAGAATGTATTATCACATAAAAAACAAAGGAACTTAAACAACTTACATTGAAAGAAATGTTTAATAAAGTAAACAAATAAATATTAAGTTTTTTTTTTTGTAAATTTTGATACCCTTTAGATCATAATTGTTCTTTATTTCATAAATTACGGTTTCATATTTTTAATTTTATAATTTTTACATGCCATCTTACGAGATTTAAACTGATGATCTATAATCCGGAAAAATCAATAACCCGAAATCGCCGAAGTCCCAGCGAGTCCGGATTAACGACTTTTGACTGTATTGTTGTTATTTATCCTGGCCCAGTGATATGATAACTTGGCAATATTAATTATGCAGCCAATGGGCGAAAAAAATGGCTGTTTTTATTTTAACAGTTTATCTGTAGAATTTTTTTCTTTAAAATTATGATTAATTGTGTGAGATTTAGCTACGGAATAAAAATTGATGTTTTAAAATAAAGTGTAATAAAAGTTTAATTTAACAAGGTTATTTATTATTGTATATGAGAGAATTTTGTTTAGGATTTTTTAATTTGAGAGTGTACGTAAAAATTAAAACATGGTATGCAGTGAGAAATTCTTATTTTAAATACATTCTGTGTGTGATCTAAATTAATATTATTTTATATTACAGGGAACACAGAGTGCCAACCCTCACAATGACTATTGTCAGCATTTTGTGGATACTGGCCAGAGACCTCAGAATTTCATCAGAGATGTTGGTATGCCAATATTAATACATATATACGTATATTAAAAAAATGCTGTATTAGAGTTATACAAATGTAATCTATTCATTTGCGTGGAGGCATTCCATAAGTTTTAAGCCTAACATATTTGTGCAAATTATTTTTGAAATTTTCTGCATAGTAACATCTAAAATTACTTTTACAGTTTTCTGCATGGTTTCCCTTGACTTCAAATGCCGCAAACATTGATGCTTTGAAAATGGTCGCTGAAATGTAGGTCAGAGTTGCAGTGTCTGAAAAAGATGGCTCTTACTGAAATATCGGCCACAGAAATTCTGTTTCTTTGTCTCTCAGGCTCTGGGGATAGTCATTATATACCTCTGCCCTTTATCCGATGACATTTGCAGTACTCACAACTATACAGTTTCAAAATTCCCTTTCATTTGCTCTCAGTAATGGAATGTTAGCACAAGTCAAGAAACTTTCAGTGGGTTTCATATAATTCACTTGCTCTGTATAATTCTGCACTCATACTGCTATCTGAAAGATGCAAGATGCAATACAATGAAAATCTAATGAATAAAAAGCTTTTTTTAAACTAAAGAAGGCTGTTAAAAATAATACATGCATTAAAAAAAAAAAAGAAAGAATGCTATTATCACAAAAATGCAAGAAAGAAAAGTGAACGGTGATGTAGTTTGAATGATGAAATATTTAATATATTGCAAAGGGTAAAAAAATCAATAAATTTGTTTTAAAGAACTAAAGGAGAATTCTCAGACGAAAAAGAGAAAAGAAGCTAATATCACAAAAATGCAAGAAAAGTTGTTTATTATATACATATAAAGATAAACTGTTACTCAATTTTTATTAAAAAATGAATGTGAATTGGCTGATTTATGTAATCATCATCATCATCATCATCAATATCGCCGGCATATTGCTGCTTTTACGCAATGTTTCCGGCTCATGACACAAAGGCCCGAAGGGCGCATGATGGTAGTAAGCAATGACGATTGAGAGGAGGCATCAGTAGTGCAAAGAGGGGGTGACAGCATGACGTCACAAGTCTAGAGAAACACGCAGACGAAGCCCAGGACCAGGAGAGGCGAAGACAGGGTGAAAATCAGACTTGTTCTGTTGTTCATGATAGGTACATGTCATAATAAAGTTACACAAATAAGATGATACAATACAATTTATTAGAATAATAAAATACATGCAAATAAAATGAAAAAGAGTATATAAATAAAATACGGCAAAAAGTCTATATACATATATACAGCGACGTTGCACTCGTGATAAAGTTGCGTAGGGAAGTTCGAGTCTCGAGTGGTGAAGGCTGCAAGTGGTCGAATACGTGCGTTCTCTGCAAAGATCTGGTAATCGAATACTTTGAAGTGTTTCATATGTGAACAATTTTTTGCTTTTTCAAAGAATTTTCTATTAGCTTTATGAAGGAACTCTTCAACTCTGTCTATACGTAGGTCTCTATGTAAGGTCTCATTCGAAACATAAAAGTACGCATTAGTAATAATTCTCAGAAGTTTGTTTTGCGTTCTTGGAGTTTTTTCATGTCACTTTGAGTGTAGGTCGCCCAGGCAGGGGATGCGTAACAAAAAATTTGGTCTGATAATTGCTGTATAGATGTGCCTTTTCCTTTTAAGATCAAGTCTGGAGTTTTTACCTATTAGTGGGAGGAGATTTTTGATAGTATAGGAGGTCTTCCATTTAATATTGTGAATATGGTCTTTCCAGGTAAATCTGTGATTTAAAACTACCCCAAGATAAGTAGCCTTTTTAACAAGTGGTACTTCTTCATTAAAGATATTGATTTTTCTGTATAAAGGGATTCTGGAATGTTTTTTGCCGATGATTATCAACTGGGATTTTTGTCCGTTAATCGCAATTCTCCATTTAGCGCACCATTCCTCTATGGCTGGAATTTTTTCTTGAAGTTTTATCAGTGCATGCTCTTGACTATGTGACTTCACGGCAAGGGCGGTGTCATCCGCATAACATCTGAGGTAAGTATTGAGGTCGGCACTATTGGGTAAGTCATAAACATAAAAAAGATACAAAATAGGGCCAAGAATAGATCCTTGAGCTACCCCGGCTTTCAGATATTTGGTCTCAGAGTGTTCATATCCAAAATTTACAAAGAATTTGCGGTTCCGTATGAAAGAGTTGATAAGTAAGATGAGGTCTCTACTGAAATCTAGTGTGATGAGCTTGAAAATGAGCCCCTCATGCCAGACGCGGTCGAAAGCTTTCGCCACGTCTAGCATGAGTAAGGCGACACTTTGATGCCTGAATAAAGCAGATCCAATGAATTCACACAGACGAACAAGTTGTTTTGTCGTTGAGAGATTTTTACGGAAACCAAATTGTTCCATTGGGAGCTTATCCATATGCGGCTCAATTCTTTTATAGATGACCCGTTCGAAAATCTTACCTAGTCCTGGGAGTAGACTAATCGGACGGTATCCCTCCGGTTTGGTGGCATCTTTTCCCGGCTTTGGTAGAAGAATGACTTTGGCCTTTTTCCATTTTTCGGGAAAGTAGTTATTTTCCAGGCAGGCATTGAGAATGCTAACATATCTTGTGACAGTATTAAGTGGCATATTTTTAATTGCAACATTCGTTATTTCATCATAACCAGGTGCTTTCCGGTTTTTCAGATTTCTAACCTCGGTTTCTAACTCGATTCTCTCGGTTCTCTCGATGTTTCTAACCTCGGTCGGGGATGTATATTCAGTGCGATTTTTGGCCCCTGGTCCTTCAAGCCAGTCTTTGATAAATTGCCTAGTATTAGATGAGAAAAGAGGGTCACAAGGGTCTTGATTCGGTACGAATTGTTGTTCTAAGTGCTCTGCCATAAGGGCGGCCTTTTCCTTGTATGTAAGTGCGATTCTGTTGTTACTATAAATTGGTTTATTGCAAGGGGGCTTGCGCCTAAGGTTTTTTTGCGAAAGACCAGAAATCATTTCCAGATTCATTAAAACTCTCAATTTTATTATTCCAGACCTCATCCCGATGTTTCCGAATCTTGCAACTGATTTTATTATTAAGTCTGTTAAGTTCTTTCTTGACCCCTGGGTCCCAAGAGATATGCCACCTCTTTTCAAATGGTTTCTCTGTTTAATCATATCTCTAATTTCTCTGGGTAAACGGAAATTGTCTTTATCAATTGGGATTTTTTTGGTAGCAGTGTTGTATGCACTGAGGATACTATTGTTGAGAATTTCAATCGCATTATCAATGTCCTCTTTATTCTTGAGTGAGCTAATAATTGGAGGGTTCTCTAACAGTTGTGTGTAATAATGCTGCCAGTCAGTGATATTTTTAAACTTGTTTTCTTCGCATTTGTTAGTGCCCAAAATAGCAATAACCGGCACGTGGTCGGAGGTTAGTTCAACTTTAACATCCAAATACATTGGAATGTCAGTATTTGTGAGCACAATGTCTAAGAATGTCTCCTCTTCTAGGGTTATCTGGGAGGTATGTATAAACTGCAGGTGCGTAGAAATAAATAGGATAGTTATTGATAAACTCGATTAGGACTTCGCCATTATTGTTGGTTCTTCGACAGCCCCATTCAGTATGTTTTGAGTTCAGATCTCCAGCCAGGATGATATGTTTATTATTTGGGAGAAGTTCAGCTAATTTGTTCGATATCCAGTACATTGTTCGGTGGATTATACATTGCGATAAAATAGACAACTCCATAAAATGGGAGTAAAACTGAGGCAGTAACTGCTTCATATCCGTTATCACGATCTTCGCTGATGAGGCAAGATTGCAGGGTGTTTTTCACAAAAATCGCGGCCCCACCACCTCTATGGCTTAGTCTGTCACATCTATAACATCTATAGTTTGCGATGTTCAAATTGTAGCAGGGAGTCGCAAACGTTTCTGTGATGAGTGCAACGTCAATATCATACACAAGTAAAAAGTTATGAAGTTCCGTAATTTTATTCTGGACGCTATGTGCGTTCCAGGTCATGAACTGAATAGGGGCCCGACTATTTCTGTATTGACCCATGATCTAAAGTCTGTGTTTTGGCAGTTTCTGGACTGGTTTGAATAGTCTGATTTGTTTGTTGTGTTAATTGTAAGAAGCCAGCGCCTTTAATGATTTTTACTAGCTCTGCTAGATTAGCAAAAACTGTTTTTGCTTCATTGATAGTTTCCGAATACAGTCCTGATGATATGGCTTGTGCATAACTTTTACCTTCTATGATACGGTTTGAGAATGTTTTGTTTTTGACAGTGTTACTTGTGCTATTATTGTTCTTGGGATACTTTTCACAACCCTTAAAACTGGATGTGTGAGGTCCCCCGCAGTTCGCACAGACTAGGGGCTTATCAGGATTTTTTCTGTCAGGGCATTCTTTAATTGAATGGCCTCCGCCACATCGGACACATTTCGGAGCATAATTGCATCCGGCTTGGGTGTGATTGAAGCCCTGACAGCGAAAACACTGTATGGGCCCCTGTCTGCCTTTATACTCCACTACTTTGATTTTCATATCGCAGAGTTTGTATTCATTATAGATTCGTTTCGAATCGTCAGTTTTTGGCAGTGTAACAAGAAATAATGGGAGTGGAATGACTTCCCCCCCTCGTCGTCGTGACATTTGTTTAATTTCAATAATTTTGTAATTCAATTCCTCTAGTTCAGTTTTAATTTCCTCTATGTCAGAAGTAGTAGTGAGTCCATTTATGACCACTTTTAAGTTTTTATCTTGAGGCAGTATGTAGGAGTGGTGCTCAACTTTGAGCTCTTTGAGTACTTTAACCATGCCTCTATAACTTTCAGCATCTCCAGCAATGACCTTTATGCCATCATTCCTCAGGTTTTGTCCAATAAATGAGAATTTTTTGGTATGAAATATTTTTTTGATATTTCCCCAAGTCATGACATTTTCCTTAAGAATTAGTGGTGGGAGTTTTCTTTGCGTATTAGTCTCTGAATTTTGCGTGTATTACTTTCAGTGCGGTCATTATTTGTCATCGTCTGATTATTTATGTTATCCTGATTTTCTGTTTCGCTAACGTTGGTATCCATATTATTATCAGTTTCGTTATCTTGATTATGTTCTGCCTGTGTTTGCACACTATTAATCGGCGTATGATCATTCATGCTATTACTAGCTTGATTAGCTGTAATGATCGGTGAGATTATTTGTGTGTGCGTACTGAGTTTCACTTTTTTAGCAATTGGTTTGTGAATTTTTGTTCTCACGGTCTGGTCGCCTCTGCGGCGTTTAATTGGTTCCTCATCTGAACTTGTATCTTGATCAAGTGCTTTTTCCTCAGTACTGTTGATTGGATCATCATGTAGTTTTATTGGACTTCTGACCTTGCTATTTACATCTAAGTTTTTACCAGTGTTAGGTGTAGGTGTTTTATCAATGACACTATTATTTTGTTCTTTCAAAGCATTTACAATCTCAAGGGAGCTAAGCAGAAAATTGTAAAATGTTTTTTCAATGTCTGATAATTTTCCATCATTTTTGTCTCTGATTTTATCCAACTCCTTAATCTGATTTGTGTAAATTTCCACGAGCCTCTCCATGGTCCGCTACGCAGAAATAAACGCAAAAAATCCAAAATCCAGCGCCCACAAAAATGGTGTCCTGCACCCCGGGATGGAGCCTGGCCCGATAGCCTTCTCCACAGACGGATGTGCAGGCGAAGAACACACGAGGCCCCTGACAATCACCTGAAGTGAGAGCTTGGGGGTAACTACGTGTGTTATCCGATCCAAAAATCCAAAATCAAACGTGCAAAAAATTAAAATTATCCGATTAAATATTCAATCGCGCAAATAGTCTTAATGATAAGCAATATGGCATGTATTAGTCGCAAAACCAGCAATCAGGCAATTTTAGCAAGACACGTGAGAAAATGGTTAAAAAGTTATTTTCATTTTAAAATTAAAACTGGTGATCAATACATGTAGTTCTAAACTATATTCTGTTTGAAAATCAAACTAAAACTGATTAGAATACTTACTGATTTTAGCCATATTTAGGAAATATTTGCTACCAAGGCCTATTTTCATATAAGGCAGTGTTTGCAAAAGTTAACATTCCATCATTCGATAGTTACTTCAGCAACAAAATAACAACTTCATGGGTTTCACTAGTTTAAGGATAGGAGGCATCGGAAAGGGAAAAAAAAATCCCTTGTATTCCCTAGTCTCTTATCTGAAAATTAACAAAGGGAATGATCTTAAGGAAAGGTTTCAAAAATCTCAACACCTCCCTTTGCAATCCCAGCTCAGAGGGGTGGAAGTTCATTCGTGTTTCCCATCTTTTTAAGTGAAACCTTTCAAAATTTTACTACCTTTTAAAGGTTAAGCATTGGACTCCAGCAGAAAAAATGTGTTTTGTCACTACTGTTTCAAATCATTTTTGTTGCTGTTATGTGAATCATGCAAATACTACTATATATATATATATATTTTAAACAAAACAAATCACTTTCTTTACATTTGCTTTTCAGGGGTACTTAAAACTTATACATTTTGCTTTGGCTGCAGTCCACTCATCTGGTGGGCTTGCCCACGAGTATTAAAAAAATCTTGCATTTTAGTTTTTTATGAGTATTGTATTGTTTTATTATCATCTATATGGAGCATGGACACGCACCATAAGACTAGAGACTGCACCATAAGGAGACAGTAGAAGCAGTGAAATGTAACATATAAGGAGTGGCATTTTGAAGACTTAACATTATATGGAGAAAGTTAGCCACATGTCCCTGACATATAGTATCATCTCATAATTATCTCATCAGACATCATTGGCAGATTTACTTGTTTATGAGTTGGTTTAATGAAATTAGTGTCTTATTTATGAACTTTGTACTATTCTGAGTATTAATTAGTTTTGGAACAAGGTATTCATTTAGACACGAATAATTTTTTTACCAGTTTGATGTTTTCACCTGATGATTGAAATTTTAATGCATGTTATATTTCTGTGGTTTTAATGTATATGAGAATTTTTTGAATTTATTGACACATTTGCTACTGATTACTGACTGGTGTGTGATGTGGTGGTATCATCTAACAGCCAACCATATGTCAGCATGTTGTGAGCTGTAATGTTGACACATTGTTTTCAGATTAGTCAACTTCTGATGAAATTTCAGATACCTATCCCTGGCAACAAATGTATTCAAGAAAATGTAGATTTTATATGAATTTTTGGAGTGCTGCTTTTGTGATAACAGTGAATATACTAATATTTAAATAAAACGTCATGTTTATAGGAGTTCAGGATAAAGAATTTTTTAATCTTAATATTTATGCTTCTGATAGTAGCGATGATTTTTGATATGATATACGAACCTTAGAACATTCGTCCCACAAAACCTTACATACTTTTTAATCCCTGTCTAGAACTGACTTGCAATTAACTGTAATTTCAAGAACTTCAGAAAATAATAATTTTTCTAAATCTTATTGCCAACAATGAGTTATAGCGTAAACACTATGAAGCTGCAGAAAATGAATATTGCAGTTTCAATGAAATTTGGTTAATTATGTTATTGTTTTAAATTAGTTGTCATTTCTATTTTCTGCCGTTTTATCATGTTTGAATTTAAAAATAGCATTTTAAATTTAAATCATCTAAGAAAGGCACCATCTAAGAAATAACTATGTAACTAACTGAAGGCAATAGATTGCATGATATGTGATTACTAAAATTTGCTATCTTGTAATATTAAGAAAAATTAAAAGCTTAATTACATGCATTTACATTGAATATTTACATAATTTGCATTATTTCATAATTAGTGACTGAAAAAAAAATGCGACGTATTAAGATAGAGAAATGTTATGTGAATCTTTTAAAGTTTCCACATTCTAAATATCTTTCAATACTTTATTTTAGGTCTAGCTGATAGGTTTGAAGAATATCCCAAATTAAAAGAGCTTATTAGGTTAAAAGATGAATTAATAGCTAAAACAGCTACACCTCCAATGTAAGTATTTTACATTTTACATTTAATGAAACTGATGTTCATATAAAGTTGTAAAATCAACAAACCACAGAAATGCAGTTGTTTTTGCCTCAGTATTTTTTAAATTATGTTTCATAACTTTGGTTAGTTGTTATTTAAAATGCAGAAGATATTTGTTTAGCTATGTGGTACTTCAATCATAAGAATTATAGAAATGGTTAAATTTTCATGCAATTGCTACCATTTGCATGATGGTACTTGGGAGGTATGTTCAGAGTTGCCAACTCTTCTGATTTAGGCGGGAGACTCCCAATTTCTGATCATACTCCCTCCAACCCAATTTTCAACATATTTCTTCTGACTTTTCTCTTATTCTTAAAAATTTTCATGATTTTTATGTAGCTTGGTTTAATACTTCATTATTTGCACTTAGAATAGTGATTTTTGGCATCTGAAAGCTCTTGTTTTTCTCTAGATGCATATAAAAAAAACGATGTTGTTTCATCAGTGAGATATGGTATGTTTCTGCTTTGTATAGGACAGTCCGAAACACGTGCTTGAAAGTGTCATTTTCCTATTCTCTAATGAGAATAAAATGCCACTGTGCGTCATCTGGCATATATTAGCCAATGAGCACAAAGCACGATCGAGGTTGTTTATTTCATTCATCTTGCGAGTGGGCAGCGTAAGTTTCCCGTGCTTCCCGAAAACAGTTTAAGAAACTGCGATCTTTTCTGTTAGTTATGTCTGTGAAAAATGTAAAGTATTCGTATACTTTTCAAAATGTGTCTCCGGAAGTAAAATCACTAAGAAATACTAAAGTACAAAGACAAAATGGTCTGCAATTGTAAAAGACATTGGTATGAAAAATAAATCTTCAATTATTGATTGCATTAAAACAGTTTCATTCTGCTTGTCTATGAATGGAAGCAATAATACTAATGCAAAACGTTCCTTTTTTTTTTTTTTTAAATCCAGAGTCTTCAGAAATTGAGTTTAGTTTACTTTCTGTTTCCTCACATTAGAAGGAGATTTGACATGCTTTAATATATAGCTCAGCTAATTATTAAAACTCTAAAAGAAAGTGCAATTGTTCAGGATAATTGCTTAGCACTTAGTGCTAACAATGCACCAGAAATTGTAGGCTTGAAAGCTGATGTTGCAGGCATCTTAAAAAGAGAAAACAAAACTCATATTTGCAAATTATGAAATGCACCTGTCAGCTCTTAAATTTAGCAGTGAAGAAAGGTCAGCTTATTTGCTAGTAAGTGGTTGAACACATTGTTGATATTTATTATTATCTTCAATAGATTTGCTAAAACGGAGGAAAAATTGAAGCAGTTCCAACAGCTGCATAATACTGAAATAAGAAAAAAAATCTGAAATATGTTTGTACATGCTGGTTATCTTTAGAGAAACTTTTAGATAGAATCCTTGACCAGTGAAACCCACTTCTTATGTTTTTAAGGAAGAAGTAAATTCTTCTAGAGTTAAGAAAAGAGGCTGTGTTGTTTATTTGCTTTTTTGTACATTCCATTTTACCATCATTTGATGTTCTTAACACAATTCTACTGGGGTGCAGAATGACATTAATTCATATTTTGAAATCAATGATTAGTGATCTGGTTAAAGCATTATTTAATGGTTAGGGAAACTGATTAGAGTATTTTTCTATTATCCAAAAATACTAGTAATAAAACTGTCCTTTTTAGGTGTAAGTATCTTTGCATTATTTTCATTTAAGAAATAATAACTGAACTTTCAGATATTAATTAGTTACTATTTAAAGTTAATTCATTATTAAGAAAATTTTTTTTCCTGTATGTTTTTATTATTTTAAAAATCTTTTTGTCATTGAGAAAATTCTCCTGTTTAAAAAAAATCTCCTGAGTTTTGAGTTTCGTAGGTTGGCAAGTATGTATGTTTTTTGGCAGTCTGCTAATTTTTTACATGTAATAGTTTTGCATTTGTTTTTTATGTTTTAATGGTTTATTGATTTAGATGATACAATAGAACTGATTGTTTCTTTTATAAACATGTTGACTGTCAATGACAAAATAACTTGTGATTGGCAGTCTACTAGTAGATATCCACCCTGAGTTAACATGTGGTAAATGTATGGGAATTTTGTGAGCTGACATTTATTGCAGATTTATTACATAAAGTTGTCATGAAAAGGATTTATTTATTTTTAACATAAGATTTTTAAAATGTAAAAAAATGTAATTAAACAGAGCTGTAACTGTAATTTTAACTATATATAACTATATACATGTTTTAAAACATTGTTCTACGAATAAAGGAGGTTTCTCTTCAGATGCTGAGAAAAAATGCAGTGTTTTGTGATGTCTTTTTATGGTCATGCAAACACACCAGGCCATTACTGATCGCTTTTTTTTTCCCTGTGGCAAGTATGCTGTTCAAGTAATAAAATCTAATTTGCTTCAATTACAGCTTTCTTTATAACTATTAACAACTATACCTTTCTGGTTATTTATTTCCAATTAGAGATGAGATTAGTAGTTCTCTAAATTAAAAAAAAAAAAAAAAAAAATATTATACTTTTCTTAGCATTAAATAGAAGTTAAACTTGTATTATGAACATATAATCATATATCAATCTCATTTATATGTGTATTTAAATATTCATGCATGTTGGCATCTTTAAAATATGTTTGATAGTCAGTGTGTTTTAGTAATGTGATGCTAATTTCTTTTTTATTGTTAATGATATGGGGAAGGATTGATGATAAGCATAGCTACAACTCATGAAGTTAAACTAGGATATATTTATTTATATTAGAGTGAAAAGAAAAGTAAAAATAATAATCATCAAAACATTTTGGACATGTCTGTCTTCACTATCGTTCACATCTCATCTCATCTGACCACACCCTAATCTAGATGGCTTTCTTATATAATCTTAGTTACAGTTACAGTTCCCACATAATTCGGCCATCTGACATAGTCATCTGCTCTCAGATGACAAGAGCAAACAGTGAAATTTAACATATAAAATAAAGTAAAAAGAAAAAATGCTAATACTGTTAAACTATAAATGAAAATACTAAATTAATACTGATAAGTGGAAATAATATTCTATCTGGATCTTCTAATAACAGCACCTAAAAAAATAGAAAAAATAATAATTAGTAAACATAATAAAAGAAAATATGGATAGGATTAAAGTCCAAAAGTGTAGAGCAGCTCATATGAGTAACTGTCCATAAAACACTAAAGTTCAGGTAATATGTTCTGATGAAGTCCAAGGTTTCATAAATTTGGCATAAGTACTTGTTTTCATAGGTCCATCGAAGAAACCACATTTTTCAACATCATAAGTGTTATTTGACTTGATTTTCACGATTTTATAGGGTCCGAGAAACTTGGGTTTCAGTTTAAGACCAGGTCCATATTGTGTACGTTTGATTGCCACTAGATCATGAAGCTCGAACTTACGGGATGGTTTACGTCGCAGATTGTAAGTATTAACGATTTTTAGCCTGGACTTTCAAAATCTGTTGTTTAGCTTCCTTGCAAAGATCCTTATGAGCGTTGACAAAATCTGACTGGATCTCTGCATTTAACAGCTCTGTAATGTTATCATGATTAGTAGATTTCATTTTAGTTCCAAACATGAGTTCGAATGGGGTTGTTATGTTGAATTGATCACTTGCTGAACTTCACCAACGTGTGTATACCATTTTGATGGATTTTTAAATCGATAATTTGGAAAGAACAGAAATTATGACAGAATTCAATCTCTCAATTTGTCCATTGGCACGAGGAAGTCCTGTAGTTATTTGAATATGCTGAATATTGTTGGTTAATCTTGAAAATCTTTTGAAGTAAATGCTGATCCTTTATCTGAAATTATATGTGAAGGATTTTGGCAAAATCTACTTATAGCCCCAAAGTAATATCTAAATTGGAAAATCAAAGACAAATTTTTGATTTTCCAATTTAGATATTATTTCGATGCTATCAGTAAATTTTGTTAGGTAAAGCCATACAAACTTTGTGAAAGAGTCAATAACAGCAAATATATACTTGTAATTTTGATGAGTACATTGGAGTGGTCTTAAATGATCAATGTGATATGTGTGAAGTGGTACATCTTGTTTGGGTATCGAATGCAACATACCATCTTGTTTGCCACATTTAGGATTAATTAGTATGCATGGAACACAATTAGCAATATAGTTGTCAATTTTATCTTTAAGTTTAGGAATATAAAATTCTTGTTTGATGAGTTCTTCAGTTCGTTTGGAACCGAAATGCCGACGAAGATGTGCGTCCTTAATTATGTCACTCTGCATTGATTCTGGAACAACAAGTAATTCCTTACTGTCTACAAATTTATAAAGTATATCAGCTTAAACACAATAGTTCATCATAAGGTTTAACTTTTAAGACTTGTATGGCTCGGATGTAATCATCTTGCTCTTGAGCGTGTCATATTTTCAAAATGAGGCTATCCTGAGTGATGACCATAACAGGGGATCTGCTTAATGCATTAACATGTGTCATTTGTGTTCCAGTTACATGACCTTGCAAGATTAAATCTTTGAAATATAGAAGGAGAAGTACAGAGATCGAAAGATGCACGTAGAAACTGATGTTGTCCATTATGTGTGACAAATGAAGTGTAATGTCGGCTGTTTTTGTTGACACTAACATGGAAGAAAGCGTTTTTTAAATTGATTGTAGTGAATGTACGAGTATCTTGTAGTTTATCTAATAAGTCTGCTATTAAGGGTAAGTTATACCGATCTTTAACTATTTTCTTGTTTAATTTCCAATAGTCAATACAAACTCTAGGGTTGCCCTTTTTTTTGTGTACTACTACAACTTGACTAGAATATTCGGAAGAACAAGGGTTCAGTTGTGCCGTCAGCCAACCAAGCTTGAACGTGCTTGCCCTACAATGTCTCTTTTCGACAAAAGGTAATCATCGAGATTCTGTAAAAAATAGCTGTTTTTTCTTTTACTTGAATGGTCCATCTCAATGTTCATAGTTTTGGTTTTGAGACGTCTGTAATTAGCAGACAAGATCTTCAATAATTCTAACTTATTCTTTTGTAGCAGTAGGACTTATTTCTAATTTAAATGTTTGATTAAGGAGAAATATTATTGATATACACAATCTTCGGGATCAATTTGTTTAACAAAATGTTTAGAAATATGAACACCATCTTTGTTTATATTAACTTTACCTTTTTATTTTGCAGTAGGACCTATTTCTAATTTAAATGTTTGATTAAAGGAAATATCATTTATGTACACATCTTCTGGATCAGTTAATTCAACAACATGTTTAGAAATACGAACACCATCTTTGTTTATATTAAACTTCACCCTGTTTAAACATATCCATCGCCAATTATAGTGTGAAATACTGTCTACAATATATACTGAAATATAACTACATCATACTGTCTAGAACATAAATATTATTTGCAAATAATTTCCGTATCTATTAAAAATGTCAGCTGTAAAATAACCCATTGGTTTAATTTTCTCATTACCAAAGCCAGTTAACACATTATGAAACACACTTAAAGCAGAATTCCGAATTTGTTTATAAATGTCGTTAGACAGAACCGTTGCTTCGCTTCCGGTATCAATGATAGCATTGAGTGATATATCATTAATTTTGATTACTTTATAGAGTAGGTTCGGCGCATGAAAGTTGATTGATGTGACAGCTTTCCTTTTTTTCAGATGTTAGACTGTTGTTTTTGTCAATTTGCTTCGGAGTTTTCTTAACACAGGTAAAGGATTTATGACCGAAATTTCCGCCAGATTAACATTTGGATCTGCGATGTTGGTCGGGACGAAATTTAGATAAATGACCAAATCCATTACAGTTATAACATTTAGATGACTGGTAATTACTGGAATTTGCTGAGAAAACTTTTCTGTCACTTAAAGCTAAAAATGTAGATTCACGAGACTCATTTTAAAGAAGAAAGAAGGTCAGAAATTGTTACATCGCATTTTGAATATGTGTTTCGCTTAACCTCTAAACCAAGATTTTCTGGCAATAAATTTAGAACAATTGAAATCAAAGGTGAACCATAGGATTTTGAATCCTCTTGCAGTGAATCTAAATTTCGTATAGTGATATCGAGCTCATCATATAACTTTCTCAAAGCTGGAACATTTGTAGAGTTTTTAACACTTTGCAAGTTTAAAAGTTTTCTCATAAATGAATCAATTATAATATCTTTTCGACCAAAACAATCTTTAAGTAACTTTACACAGTTGTCGTAATTTTTATCAGTTAATTGAAAACCAGCTACTAAAAGCTCCTCCAGTCAAGTATATTTTTAAATAGGCAAACTTTTCAATTTTCAAAAGTGAATCATTTCGAACGAATTCCAGAATTCATTCCACAATTTTGGATCTCCTGAATACGGTTTGATTGTTAACTTAGGAAGTTTAACTGAAGAGGGTAAATTTAAACTATCATTCGGAGTACTTAACAGTTTTTCAGATGTCGAGTTAGTAAAACTCTGTTTTCAGAGTTAGTAAAACTCTGTTTTAATCTTTTCTGTTTTAATAAACGTTTAACTTTGTCAGTATACCGGAGACATTTTTCTTCGTAATCAGTACTAGTGTTTACTTCTCAATTACGTTTACATCAATGAAATGTTCAATTTGACTATCTAAACACTTTAGTTTATTAATTTTTTCTATTGAAACTTCTAGATGTTCGTCTAAGATACCACACGTAACATTTTCATCTGTTAAAGCAACATTAATTCTTGAAATTAGTTTAGTAGTACTGCTTTTTTCAATACTACGTTTTCGTTTTAACTTTTCAAAATTTTCTTCTTGTAATAGCATTCCTTTTTTCAGATGTTAGACACAATTTTCTTATTACTTGAAACAATTATACAGTCAAAATGAAATTGATAAATGTTAATTGCTCACCTGTGATCCTTTTAGGTGAACTTTACTAATCCAGATGGCACAATCCAACTATGAGCACGAAATCGAAACTTCTGACACCAAAATATGGGGAAGGATTGATGATAAGCATAACTACAACTCATGAAGTTAAACTAGGATATATTTATCTACATTAGAATGAAAAGAAAATGTAAAAAGAATGATCGTCAAAACATTTTGGACACATCTGTCCTCACTATCATTCACGTCTCATCTCATCTGACCACACCCTAATCTAGATGGCGCTCTTACATAATCTTAGTTACAGTTACAGTTCCCACAATGATGCTGATTTGTCCTGCATTTTATAATTGGCTGCATAGTGTTTATGAATTGATGAAACTACTGAACACTGCTAGAACATTGTCCTATTATGTTTCATTATTAGAAAGTTATTTGTTATATGTACTTGTTAAATGTATTCATTAGAAAGCTCTCTGTTGATGTGTTTATTGAGGCAAATATAGCCTTTTTGTACTTTAATAACTGATTATCTGCCTTCCTAAATAACTTTTGTTAGTGGTTGACAATGATTGAATATGAGTACTTTCTTTCTGCCTTTGGTTTTTAGTAAGATGAGGTTCTCAAGTAAGAGATAAGAGGTTCTCAAGATAGGTCTCATGGCCCTTAAGGCATAGGGTGAAAATAATTAATGATTGAAAAAATATTTTATAATTTGATCTAATTATTTTTAAGAAAAATTATTGAACAAGCTTTTATGTGCAAAAATAATGCAGATTTCTCTTTGATTATGTAAATTATTTTTGAAAGGCATTTTTTAATGAACTTCATAAATTTTACTATAAATATATAGCAATTTTTAAAAATTAATGTTTTTATTAATGACAATAGCAGAAAAACAGTGAAAGATTCATAAAAAGTATTGCCTGCTAGAAAGTGGTAACTTTTCAGTTACTAAAGAAGATGATACAGCAGAAGTTTTCTATTGCGATGACAGTGCCCCAGTCAGCAGTTGAGTAACAGACAGCACAAATCTGTAATAAAGTTTTAAATCCAGAAAATATCACTACCTTTTATTATGAAAGTGACAAAAGAGAATTTTGAGATTGAAAAGATTTCAGATGTAACTGAACAAGAAATTATGCGTAGCTATAAAATTAAAGAAAAAGTGTTAAGGGAAAGAAAAAAAAAAAAAAAAAGAAAGAAATAGCTGAAAAATCTGGCATTAAAATAAACAAATAAATATTCAGTTTAATTTTTCTAAATTTTCATTCCCTTAACATCATAAATACTTTATTATTTCATAAACAATTATTTTTAATTTTATAATTTCTACATGTCATCTTACTACACTCATGTCCATAAATTAAGGATAATTTGGAGTCACACGGAAATTGAACTCTAAAATAAATGTATCACCTGTAAAATCACTGCACACATCTTCAAGAATAATATGCAAATTTCAGGAAGTAACCAGATGACACTGATGGTACGTCACAATGATGAGAGTGTAAGAGAGTGATATATAAGGAACACAGGCAAAGAAGTAAAATTGTTTGCATGCGCTTTATAAGCATTTCAGTGAAATAACCGATGCAACAAATCCACAATGCATTGTGTGATGTTTTCCGACGAGTCCAGGTTTAGTTGCAGTCTGATTCTTGCCAGACTTTCATATGGAGAGCTCCAGGTATTCGTTACCACCAAGAAAGCATCATTGAACGACACCGTTACGGTGGTGTAGGAGTGCTCGTTTGGGGTGGAATTATTCTGGGTTCCAGAACTGACCTTCATGTTCAAATTGGAATCATGACAAGCCATATCTATCGGGACGTCATTCTGGAACAACATGTACATTTGTTTCGGGGTGCCATGGGCACACAATTTTGTTTATGGATGACAACGCCCCAGTCCTCACCGTGCAAATATCGTAAGCGAATGCCTTCAATCGGAGGTATCACCCGTACAGACTGGCCAGCATTCTCACCAGACTTGAACCAGTAGAAGCACGTGTGGGACATGCTTGGCCGACGAGTTGCAGCCCGTCAACCTCCTCTACATGTCTACCGGAACTTCGGAGTGCATTGCTTTTTGAGTGATGTAATATCCCCCAAGATCAGATCGATAATTTGATACTCAGATGCCTAGGCGTTGTACGGACTGTATTGCATCGTCTGGGAGACATACAATGTATTAACAATCAAACCAACCATGTAATATTGGTTTTTGTAAATAAGGTTTTTTTTTTTTTTTTTTTTTTTTTGTAATTTGCTCCAGGGAGAAAAAAATCGCTAATTTTTTTAATAATATCAAATATATAGCGTCTTTTTTGACTCTTTACCTTTTGTTTAATAAATAAGCTTTACAAATAAATTTGTTTGCTTCCAACTGTTCCTTTGCCTGATTTTACATTATCCTTAATTTATGGAAATGAGTGTAGATTTGAATAGTTGATCTAAAATCTGGAAATTTCCAAAATCCAGAATCGCTGACATCTCAGTTTCAGGTTTTGTACTGTATATTTTTCTGCTTGCTTCAACTTTCTGATATACTGAGGTTATCAGTAATTATTGTTTTGAATTATTTTAGCATTCTTATGGTAAGCAAAAGTTTTTTTATGTAAGTTTTTTGTAATGTTAAAAAAAATAAGAGTAAAGTAGAAAGAGAAATGGAGCTGATATATATTCACAGTAAATAATTTGTTACTTTATGCTTTTGTAGGTATTTAAAATGTGATCTTGAGACCTTTGATTTTCGAGAGCTTAACTGCAAGTTTGATGTCATACTTGTTGAAGCTCCACTAGAGGAGTACCAACGGACATATGGCATGACAAATATGAAATTTTGGACATGGGAAGAAGTATGTATTTATTTCAGACTGATTTGATGCAATAATTTTTTATAATTACATTTTGAATGTTTCTATTTTCACCTAAAAGTGATTTTCTTATCTACTATTCATCATTGAATTAGTTAAATTTTCATTTGACAGCATTATTTGTTGTATTTTTTGCTAATAATTTGAATTGTTAATAATAAATATATGATGAGTAATAATTATCTATTATTATTAATGACAATTATTAAGGTCATTTTTGATGATGATTTAAATCGCCGCTTATTTATACCGAATTTTAAAATATTAAATTATAATAATTTATATTAATTGTGAAAGGAAATAAATAAAAAAAATTGTATTGTATTTTTAAAAATTTATTTTAAGATAATGAAATTAGAAATTGAAGAAGTAGCTGCTCCTCGCTCATTTATTTTTCTTTGGTGTGGTTCTTCTGATGGATTAGATTTAGGAAGACAGGTGAGTTTTTAAAAATATTGTATTATTTGGCAATATTAGCTTAAAATGAAATATAATAAGTGCCACTTAATGTGATCACGTTTGTCCATGACTATTTTGATAACATTAATTGAATGATAACTTTAAATGATGGAAAAAAAACATCTGTGGTGTAGTGGCCGAAACCGCTATGCTAACCCCGGGTTGTGACATCAGGTTGAAAACAAAACACAGCATAATAAAATTTATTGAATGCTAAAAAAATGGCTACATCATTCTGAAAAAAAAAACCTATCTATTCAAAAAATCAAATTCTATACATTTTCGTGCGAGAGCAATTCGTGGCTCTCGGCTTGCGTTTTTTAACATTGCCACGATTTAATTATTTTAATAAGACTATAAACTATGAAAACGTATTTGAGTTAAAAAAAAAAAAATTTCAGCTTATGCTCGAGACATCCTTGTCCCTATAAATCTTCAGTCTCTTCTTCTTTTATGTACCTTTCCACAATCCTCCCCTCATAAAGAAATTTTTCTTGACTAGGAAGAAATTCTAAATCATTTCACTCTTTCAAAACAAAGTGGTAACCATTTAGTGATAATAGAGAAGCCATTATTACCCTGTACTTATTTCTAGATAAAAATGCAAAATACAACAAAAAGATTTAAATTTTGAATCTACACAAGTACCTTTTCAGTTTACAAACTGCTAACTTAAACCTTTGATTCTAACCATTTTGAAAACGCACACACTATGAAAACAAATTTAAATCTACAAAAATAATTCCAATCAACAAAAAATCATTTTTCAAAAAACATTTACAGAACAAAAAGGATTGGCTCCTCCATATACTTCATATGCTAAAGTTCCTGCTGTTCGTAGATCTGATCTCGAAAATCAGTCACTGGATAGGACACTCTTCAACACTTAGAAGTATATTTGGATGAGGTCCCAATTCTTTTTCCTGACTTTATGATTTGTCAGCTCATCCAAAGAAAACTCGCCAATGGCTAGTAATGTCTCCTTATACATTGCACGCCAGTAGCATATGCATTTGATTCAGCATTATATTGAACATCATTTTTACAGCAAGGTTTTTTGGAAGCAATTTCTCAGAAGAAAACATCTTGATAGAAGTGGGTTTTTTGAATATCGAATTCTGCAGATCTTGTGTTCCTTCATATGCGATATAATAAATATTGTTTGGTGTTGAACATTATCATGATTTTCTGTTGCTTGTGCTTCCGAGAATTCTGCTGGCGAAACTCCGCAATGATAGTCCTTTCTCTAAACTGATGTCGGAATTTTAATGTCTCCTCGTATTACTGGCTACTTCCTTTCTTCCGAATGCTCATTTTTGATGGCCCTTTCACTTTCTATCTCTTTCTTTTCTTCCGATCTGGAATCTAAGTCTTTTGCACTCGCTCTCTCTAAACTCCTGCGCGCATGCGCCTGACTACGAGTCTCCACAGCATTCAAGAGAACCGGCCGTTCTCTAATTTCCTCAATCAACTGTGCAGTTTTATTCCCTAACAAATAGTACTCTTTATCTAACTCTACCTGAGTAACCATTGCCTTTGTGGTGACCACACCAAAATCACCTTCAATGGTGACTTTCGCCAAAGGTAAACATTTACATTCTGTGTCCAAAGGCTGTTTCACCCATACAGTTTCCCCTAATAAGTCACTAGTATTAATCCAAGTACTATTACACAGATCTATTACCAGCTCCAGTATCTCTCAGATATTTCTCTCTCTATCCCATTAATTACTGATTTCTTTGAAATACGGCTCAAAACACTTTCCTAAACTCTCCGTTCCTAAGATTATTCACCAGATTAGCGTTATTCTTTTCTCAGCGATGGACAGCTAGGTCGGATATGCCCGTCCTTTCCACATTGGGTAACACCTTATTTTTCCGCTATTTCTCGAACCTCGCTTCATTGAAAACCTTGCTCCTTTTTAGGAGCCTCCACTTTTCTATGCCCCTCCTGATTTAATTCTTTGATGACCACTAACTTTTCTGGATTATAACTACCATTGGAATTTACATACCTCTCTCTAATCTTCTCAAATGGTTTTTTCTTAGACCCCGCTCTCTGTTCTAACCCCTCCTCGTATCTCTCATCAAAGCCTCATACCTGTCGCATTTGTCTGATAAAATAGAAGCTGTTTTAAATTCTTCCCAATTGTATAAGTAATGCTCTCTTATTTCTAGAGGAACTCGCCGCTTAATTTGCTCGGTGAGCATAAGTTCCTTAAGACTTTCAAAATCCTGAACTTGATCTATACCAAAGCAATTCTCTAAATACACTCTCAATTCATACACTAAATCCACACATAACATCCCGTTCTTTCTAGAATGTTCTTCAAATTTTGTTTTTAGAGCCAAAGAACTGAGCTTGAATCTATGCATGAGTAATTTCTTAAACATGCTGATAATCATCCCCTTTATCCGCTGGTTTCTTTCACTATTAACTGGGCTACATCGTGAGGTAATAAAGGAATTAATTGCGAGACCCAATCAATCTCATTAACGTTCTCTTTTTGAAGCTTGTTTCTCAAATAGCATAAAGAATAATGAAATATCTATATTACTCGGTTCAAAACGCGGTACTAGATCTTTCAAATCTTAATCTTTTTTTTCTCTAGATTGTTCAACTACTTTCGAAACCGTGGAAAGCTAGGCTATTAGTCTGAAACCACATTCATCAGTTTTAACCTTTCCAATTCAAAAACTCGCTCCCGCGCTCTCTCTTGTTCATGTTCCCGCTCTGCTCTTTCGCGTTCCCGATCTGCTCTTTCGCGTTCCCGATCTGCTCTCTCTTGCTCGGCTTTTCTTCTGCTTTTTCTCTGCTCAGCCGCAGCCCAAATTCTTGCCGCGTATTATTCTTTCGCAGCTTCTTCTTCATAGTCCTCGGCATTTAGAATAGCCTGCCTAATTTCTCTTACTCTATTTGCCTGAGACACATTTGTTTCAAACTCCTCCGCCTAACTCCAATAGCAGAGCTTTTAGTAAATTTCCTCATAAACTCACCCATTATGGAAAATTAAATAAAAATAACCTACCCCGAAATACAATAACACAAAAACAACAACAGGTTTATCTCTCCAAAACTGAATAATTCCCTAACAATTCTGAACACAAATTGCCTTACAACACTTAATGATAATACCTATGCCTACAAACAAAGAGTATATAAAAAAAATGCTAATTAAGACGCAACCTTTTCCTGCTCTATATCCAAAATAAGCTTAGTCTCGAATAACTGGCGTAACCTTTCCAAAATCACAAAAATGGTATTCACCAATTTTGAAGACACCTTTGATTGACTCTTCTGGCACTACTTGGATATTCTTCCGGGAAATTTCACTTTGCTTCCTCCAGCGTTCCCTTCTGACACACTGTCACTTGTCTCTGAAAAGGCTTCACCACGCGAACTGTCCTTGCACGCAAAATTAAATCGTTCTTGAAGAGAAAAAGTCTTCATAAAGCAACAGGCGAAAAAGTCCGTTCCTAAATTTACTCTCAGGAACAATCCCTAAAAGCTGCCACCAACTTTTAATATTTACTGCTGTGGTGTAGTGGCCGAAACCGCTATGCTAACCCTGGGTTATGACATCAGGTTGAAAACAAAACACAGCATAAAAAATTTTATTGAATGCAAAAAAAAAAATGGCTACATACAATTCTGCAGAGAAAAACCTATCTATTTCAAAAATCAAATTCTATACATTTTACGTGTGAGAGCAATTCGTGGCTCTCGAGCTTGTGTTTTTTAACATTGCCAACGATTTAATTATTTTAATAAAGACTATTTTAATAACTATTGAAAATGTATTTGTAAGTTAAAAAAAATAATAATTTTCAGCTTATGCTCACGAGACATCCTTGTCCATATAAATCTTCAGTCTCTTCTTTTATGTAACCTTATCACACACCTTTGAAATGGCAGTGGACTAATTTACAATAACTAATTTTACTAATTTAATATAAATAGCAGTGGAAGCATAAATGAGTATGCAAAAGTTTATTAATGAATTGTTGATAACATTTCCGGAAATTATTTGACCAGTGCTATGTACCCTTAATCATGAATCTCAGAGAGATTTCCATACTTTAAAAGAAAATTTCAATGTAAAATGTAAAATTAAGTAAAAAAGGAACTTTCTTTCAGGAAGGGTGGAATTGCAGGAATTTCTTTTGCTCCTGAAAAAGAAGGACCTGTATCTGATTGCCCTCAAAATCAATAGAATTGTTCAAAATCTATGTCGAATTGAGGTTGCCTTTTTTTTTTTTTTTTTTTTTTTTTTGTCTAATTGCAAACGGTTGAGTAAAGTCAAAACCAAGCTTAATCCCTTAGAAATGTTTGGTGACATTCCTTTGCCTGTTGGCAATTTTAGTAATCCATTTTTTACTTTATTTGGTGCCATTATCTTTCATTTGGCAACTTTATTTCAATTTAAATAGTTTATTCTGTAATACTCTGATCATATTAATCAAATTATTGATCACAGAAAATGTTGTATTTTCTCTTTTTTTATACTTCTGGCAATTTGATAGCAATATCTAAATGTTAACATTAACTGCAGTTACACTGAGTGGCACCTATTGTATACAGAAATCAGCAGAGTAAGAATTGATTGTTTTTTTAATATACAAATTATATCATCTGTAATAAATTTTACATCAATTATATTAGGTTCATTGTTTTAAGTTCTATTGCTTTTTAATCTGTAAGGAGTAATGCTTTATGTTTTCTATCAGAAATTTCATAGGAGCTGTAAATTTGGTGTCTTTTTAAATGAATGAGTTAATGAGTTTAAATCAGTGGTGCCTTTTTTAAAGTGAAGCATAGTAAATCTCTTTTTATAAGATCAGAGTTATTACTTACGAGACTAAAATTGTCTAGGACAATGTGAAATGTGTTATCTGAAAATGATTAGATTCAGTTTTTACTATAGAAAATATTATGATTTTTACAAGTAGATGATACACTGTGTCCCAAATAATACACAACTGAACTTTGCTGTGCATTTTTGAATTGTTTAGAATAAATAATGCCTGGAATAAATACATTTTTTGAGAAATGCTGGTATGTTTTAAGAATTTATGTTAGACAATATTTCAATCAAATAATATTTTAAAATCATTTGAAATATTTAGTGTAATTGACAGTGTTGATTTATAAATTAAGAATATATGTTATTTTGAAATTTCCTGATTTATTTTAAATAAAGAAATTGAGGTGGAGATTTTTTTTTTTTTTTTTCATTTTCACTCTTAAATTTTAACTGATTGGCATATTCTTTGAATGGCCACAAAAATTAAACAGCTAAATGCTGCTGTTTTTGCATGGGTTGACTTTCAAAGAAGTAGACTTGTAGCGTTTATTCTGATCTTGCTTTTTTTCTCATGTATGATATGGGTATGAGGTGTTTTTTCTGTAGAACACCCTCTCTAAAAGTACTTGCAAGCAAGCAGCATCTGGCAAAATTATCCTTGCTGGTTTTACAATTTCTTAATTAACATTTCCTTAAGACTGATATATCTTTTTTATTAGAATTGGTCGGTAAAGTTGTAAATAAAATAAACTAAACATAATGTTTTATGATTAAATAAGTGTATTTATGAATAATTATCTCATTTCCTCATATGCGCTCTCCTGATGTTAAGTGGTAGCACATTCGTCCATGGGAAGATTCCTAGTTTGAACCTCAATGAGGGCATTGTTGATCTTTTTATATCCACTGGCCCCAAAATTAAAACTGTTACTTGAAGGCAGTGAAAATAGATTAGAATTTTTCTTGTTGATATGACTTTGTTACGCATAATCTTTTGAAATATACGTCTCTTAAAATGATAAGCTTGTACAGTTTGAAAAATCAAACAGTCTTTTCAGTGATAAGCATTTTTTAAAAAGATGTCTATTTTTTTTTTTACCCTTAAAGTGATAATGTAAAATGTATAGAAAATAATTCTTTTAAATTTGAGATTATCAGAAAGACAATCTTAAAGATTAACCATAAAATAATCTGATTTCAATGGTCTGAATTAACTGGAATTTTTCACATTACAATGTACTCGAATCCAGTGTTTTCTCTTGCAAGGGTATAGAGAAGTTAGATTTTGTGAAGCAGGAAACATGAAAAATCAGTTGTGCCCTTTCCTGGGCTTGGAACTACAGTTCTTCCACTTGCTAATTGGACAAGCTGACCAGTTGTGAGCATGTATGGCAGAATGTGATAATTCTTTACAAGAGCAATTTCTGAATAGTACCAGTAGAATCTCATCCACTTTTTTTTTTTTTTTTTTTTTTTTTTTTTTTAGTGTTTAAGGAAATGGGGTTTCAGAAGATGTGAAGACATATGTTGGATTAAAACAAATATCAAGAATCCAGGTCATTCGAAAAATCTGGAACCACGAGCAATATTTCAAAGAACTAAGGTAAAATTTAATAATGTGAAATGTTATAACCAAATTATTGTTATTATTTTTTAAGCTTATTAAATAATTAAAATAAAGTATGTGTTATCAATTTTATTAGAATTTAATAAATCATTGTTGTCTAATTAATGAGAATTAAAGGTGTAAGCCTTATGTGTAAAGATAAAACAATATTATTTAGCTTCTGTTTTAAGCTGAAATACTTTCAACATTTGAATGATGTCATCTACTTCAGTTACCATTTCTGTTTTTAGTGCATTCAAAATTTACTTCTTTATCAGCTTTGATCAAATGATTTTTCAGCTTTTGATCAAAACTCAAATATTTGAGAACTTAGAGGCTTCTGGAGAGCTTAAAGGCTTAATGGAATAATAGATAATAAGCTTAATAGGTTTAATAGAATTAATAAAGGCTTCTCATCTTAGATTAATAACCAGCTATAAAGAAATTTCCATTTCTAATAGGGGAGGGAAATTCTATTCCAGTCAATCATTACAAATTAGTAATTATTTCTTTCTTTCTTGCTTTTAGTTTCAAAATTGTGCGCATTTTACTTAAGTTCAACAAGGGCAAGTTATTACTCTTTTTCCCCTGTCAATAAAATATGTAGTTCTGTTTTAACCCTTTGACGCGCGGAGGTCGCGCCCTGAAACCACCATTTTCTGAATTTTTTTTCTCCTCCTTTTTCTGAAATTTTTGAGTGAAAATGAATTGATTACTGATCTTTTACATCTAAATAACACAAAATGACTGTAGAATCATATATATTTTAGGTATTAATACTTCAGATCGGATGCCTTTTAAAATTCGTTTTCGTTGTGACAAAATAACTTCCTTTCATTAATATAAACAACTTTAAATTTCAAAAGGTAGTCATCGCACATCATGATTTCTATCATAAACAATAAAAAATAGTAAGTAATTAAGCTGCATATATAAAAAAAACCCTGTATATTGTATGGCATTTGCTTTGTGGTTTCAGGGCGCGACCCACTAAGCCACTAGAGTATTGTGTCACAATGCTCACAATCCTCTAGAGGCTCTGTGGTCATGTACCTTGAAACCACTGGCGTTTGCTTCACAATGGCATTTGCAGCTTTTCAAATAGGTAATGTTTATTTTTACCCAGATATAGATAAAAAGGGCTTTGAAACCACAGAGTTATTTTATTACTAAAAAATACATACATGTGCCCAGTGAAAAGGTCTTTCTTTTCCAGAGATACTTTTCTCTGACCTCAACACGCTTGCTTCCCTTTGCTAGTATTGTGATTTTATAAATTATTTTCCTGTGGTTTAAATTATAATGTAAATATACTTTGCTATAATAAAAATAGAAATTGCGTAAAAGTTTTATTTAAATTAAAAGAGATTTTCATGAAAGTTTTATTTGGGACGAATTATAAATATTTTGGGACGTATGAATGGAAAAGCGAAACGATCCATACAAAGCCAAAAAGACCAAGCACCCCCCCCATTAACATAAATAACCACAAATTTCATGTGCCAGATGAAAAGAAACTAAATAATGCTGGACATATACCAGTGAAATTTAAATCCAGGCAGTGTACATTTTGTAGCAAATTATATATAATACAATTCTTACATACATTTTTTTAAAATCCATAAATTTCGTCATTTATTGGAAACGTACGCGGAAAATGGTAAGTTTTTTTTTCCTACTACATCACTAAGTTTCAAAGTCCTAGATGCGCGGTGGTTTCACAGTGCGACCACCACACACAGAACAAGGGCAAGAGAAGATTTTTTTTAAATTCATATATTATTTGTCTCTAGGATCATAATATTAAATTTCTAGAATTTTTAGTTAAAAAAATTATAAAAATAATATCACGTGCGTCAAAGGGTTAAAAAGGCCATTAATTCTTGATAAATTTATAGAACATGAATGTTGTGTTCAAAAAAAGGAAATAAGTAAATCATCTGTTACATAAGATTGTTGGTCTGTGTACTGCAAATTCAGTTTTGATTCTGCCAAAATTATCCTAAAAACTTTTCCAGTTTATAAATTAGATTTTCTTGAGGCTGTAAAAAGCTGTCTACAGCAATCAGCGACTTAAATTCCAACTGGTGTTTCCCACCAATCTGTAAATAGGTCAGTTCTTAATCTGGCTACATTTGCCATTCTTAAGTGGCACCATTTTTTTAAACTTTTCTATTTTTCTTCATTATGCATCATTATTTAGTTAGTAAATTTTTTGGGGGGAGGTCTCCTTTTCTATTTATAGTACTTGTCTTTCATTTAGTGGATATAAGAATAGCTTTCATTCACTGGATATACTTCCGCTGAAATGAAGTTGATGCCAAACAAATTTTTTTTAAACTCACCAAGGGCTAATTAAGCAACACCAGCCAAGGAAACTGCAGTTGTAAAACAAATTTTGAAGTTTCAGAAGACATTATAAGGGATTTAATAAAAATAAGACTGTAATTTAATAAAAATAAGACAGAACTTCAGAAGAATATATTATGGAAGTGTTGTGTTGAACTCTTATTGAGTTATACAAGTATTTTGTTGGTATAATTTTTTTTTAATGTTGTTTGGAACTTAAAGCTCATAGCATTAAAAAAATGATTTTAAACTTGCATTATCATTCAGATATTATAGTTTCCCCCTGAAGCTTTAACCTGTGTATTTAAAGCATACATATTTTTAACAGGAAATAGTTTTTCACAGTCTCATTTTTTCATTTGATTTTATCCTGGGTACTTTTAGAAAAGTTTAAAAATATATTTATTTAATTTAAAAATAATTAAAATAAAATTTCATAACATAAAAATTGCCTTTGACAACATTTAGAGGTTATTCGACAACATTTAGATTTATAATCTTTATTTATTGTGTTTCTAAAATTTCTTGTATATTGATATTTTTCTTATTTCACTTTTTAACAGTTTGGCATTAAAAGCTCTCCAGTTTAATGAACTGTGTTCAAATTGCAGAACCTACAAAATTGTTGAATGTTTTATAGTTTGATGTAATAGCCACTGGATGAATATGCTTCTCATTTGCATTGGAATATGCTTTTGGTTATTATAAACACTTTTTTGTCTTCAACAACTTTCTTAACTAATTTTTTCATAGTTACTGGAATTTATAATAATGGTTAAATCCTAAATAAAATTCCAAGTCAAAAAAAAAAAAAAAAAAAAGGATAAGTTGAGTGGAATGAATAATAATAAATTACAAACATAGCCACAATATAGAACCATTATTACAAGCAGAAAACTAATCCACAAGATTGGCAACATAGCACTGTTTTCACCATTTTAGGGTTCTTTGCAGAAGTGTTTCATACAATTTTGATCTCTATCATTTGAAGTGATCATCATTAAACTTATTTTCTTAGTGAAAAATCAGTTGTTTTCGTATTTTTAATGTAATTACATAAATGTACTTTTGTATAATTAACCATTATTCTTGTCTAGGAACACTGCTTAATGGGCATCAAGGGTACAGTACGGCGAAGTACTGATGGAGACTTCATTCATGCCAATATAGATATTGATCTCATCATCTCTGAGGAACCAGAGTATGGTAGCATCGCTAAACCGGAAGAAATATTTCATATTATTGAGCATTTCTGTTTGGGAAGGCGTCGACTGCATATTTTTGGACGCGATGTTACCGTTCGTCCTGGATGGTTAACCATTGGACCGGCTCTCACGAACAGCAATTTTAATGGTGAAACATACAATTCATACTTCAACAAAGGTCCCAATGATTATCTGACAGGATGTACTGATAGAATTGAAGCTTTACGACCCAAATCTCCTCCCCCCAAATCGAAAGGTGGGGGAGGTCCGAGTGCTTCAAATAGAGGAGCCAATTCTCGCGGAGGAAGTAATCGATCGAAAAATTTTGGTGGCCGTGGTAGAGGCTCTCATCGTGGCCGACAGTAAATGCCCTTTATTAACTTATTTTATACAATTTAAAAATTTCACATATATTCTCTCCATTTTATATGAAAGTTTTTTAAATACTCATAATAAAACACAAAGATGAATGTGTTTCCCATTTTTAGTTGAAATTTAAAGATGATGTAGGATTCTGGGTAAACTTTAAAACTTGGCAGTATCCTTCTGAAATTGGTGGTTTGCCAACCAAAATCAAGTCAATGACATAAGATCCTTTATTTACAATTTAAAATATATTGTATTTATATTTTATATTACTGCTTTAGCAGTATTTTCAGTAGATATGCTTTTATAAATTTTGCTTGCCTGAAATGTTTATTTTACATCTTTGAGTAAAATAAATAAAAAATGCAACTCATGCATGGAAGGAGTTTTTTTCCCATATGTGAGGGGGGGGGAGAATACTTGGAAATTTTTTGGGAATATAACCCCCCCTAAAAAAAAAAATATTAAATTAAGTTACACATTATCTCATACTTTTGAGTTGAACAGGAACATAAAGTCGGAATTGATTTTATTATTTTTAATTTGTATATGATATTTGTGTGTTTTGTATGAATAAATTTTGTATGCACATAAACAGATTTTTAGAAATTTTTTCTAAACAGCATTTTAAGAAAATACAGTAGACTTCTGGTAATCTGTACACTTTCAGACTGAGGTTTGTGAATTAAGCAGATTTTAAGTCATGCTATTTAAATTTTGTGTGTTTTTCCATTTGCAATTTTATATTAAATTTGAATTGCTTACACATAAGTAAATAACATAGTTTAGAAATTATTTAATCAAGATTTATTTATTACATTATTATTTTGTCATATTAAAATATATAATTACAAAATTATATATTTTAATATGACAAAAGGGTAAACTTTGCTGGGAGAAAAAGGGATAAATAAGGGGGAAGTAAAATTGTACGTCCACCGGTGAAATTAGTTTTAAAATATTTTTTTGTTCTTTTAAATTAAACAAAAACTAGGTAGATGAATAAATTCCTTGCATATGAAAACTTTAGCTGCATGGTTTCCCTAAATTGAATTTTAAAATTAAATACAGTCAAAAATCTTTAATCCAGACATCCGTAATCCGGACCTCAAAGCTACAAACTTTCTCTGCATGCGTAAACGCATAATGCATTAATGCATGTGCATAATACGTTTACGCATGCACATTTAATGTATAACGGATGGTATAAGCTAAGCTAAAATTATCTAATTATCTATTTCAGTTAATGTTGCAGATTGCATTGTTCCTTAATCTTCGAATTGGATCCGGCTTATTATTTTTTGCAGACTGTTAGAGCAATTTTATAATAATTCCTTACTAAATGTAGTGTTTCATCTCAAAGTACTCCGATATAATTTAATTGAATTTCCTCATCATTATAAATATCACAATTACACATTAAATAGTTTTCTGGTTGCAATTTTCTAATTTCGACTATGCGTAATGTATGCTTTACGCATGCGCACATTGAATGAAATGTTTAATAAAATAAACAAATAAATATTAAGCTTTTTTTTTGTAAATTTTGATACCCTTTAGATCATAATTGCTCTTTATTTCATAAATTACGGTTTCATATTTTTAATTTTATAATTTCTGCATGCCATCTTACCAGATTTAAACTATCAGTTTAATCTATAATCTGGAAAAACCGATAATCCGGAATCGGCAAAGTCCCAACGAATCCGGATTAAAGACTTTTGACTGTATACATTATATTCTGCAATTTTTGGATTAATAATATCACAAGCAGTTTACGATTGAAATTTGGGTTTTCATTTTTTTTTAATACTGATACAGCCATATTCTTGATTTTTAATATCACGTAAGTCACTGCAAAGGCTATTTTGAGAATATAACAATGCTGATAAGTGATGTAAGCAAGTGTGCATTTGTTGCATGGAATGTAAACAAACCAATTTTGAAGTGCATTTCATTTAAAATTCTGTATCTGAATAGCTGCAAATAAATTAATTCTTCACATGTTTAGCCGCATAAACTCAAGATTAGTACTAGAACAACATATTATCTTTTGAAAAGTAGTGATAAATCCAAAACAAAACATTTGCAAATTCATGATGCGTGATAACTGCGAGAAGGACGGTCATGCAGAAAATATTATATGAGTTTCATAATGAATAAAATTAATTTCTTTAATTAATATATTTTATAATTTTATTAAAAAGTTATTTGTGTATTTATAACAGAAAACATTACCATTAATTTTACCATGCTGAATGTCCTAAAAATTGAAATTTTGCTTGTTCACATTAAAAAAAAAAAAAAAAAAAATGACCATGGAGTACAGTCATTTGTGGATTAACAGAATTTTACTGTAATAAAGAAAATTTCTTATTGGAAGATCCTTATCTTTTATGTATTCCTCCCCTGCATCTAATGGCTGGATACTTGCTCAAGAAGAATTTGTTAGGAATGAACAAACCCATCAGCCAGTGCATTACGAAGAATGTTGCACAGGATTCACCATTAGAGGTAGAATGAATGATATTGCTTCTGCAAGAAAGAAAGACTACATACCAAAGAAAGATTAGATGTTTGTAAATTTATACTGTACAGGGTGTTTCATGGGACAAAAAATAACATAGCACAAATTCTGTAATTGATTTATTATTTAACTTATTATAATAATTGCAAAATTATTATAATAAGTTAAATATCAAAACTGCTAAAATTTTTGGCGACCCACAGTTTAAGAAACCCTGCTGTAGGGAATGGGACAATTTGCTGTTGCTGTTTTGCCGTCCTGCCATTTCTCCTTTGGGCCTGTTCGCTGCCGGACCCATTCGCCTTCGAGAATATTTTCCTTTACATGCTTATATTATATTGTGCAATATTGTACTATCAAGTTTATTTAATTTAATAATTTCATTTGCCTATTGTATACCTCTGACTGTCTTAAATTTTAAAAGGAAAAAAAGGCTGTTGTAATTAAACACATCAAGAATTACTAAAATATTACCTAGAATTAATGAGTTTTTAAGTATTATTCACTTTTTATTCGTGAATTCTCTTTTGTATTCTGTCAACAGAGGAATGTTATCTCGAGGCAAAAAACTTTCACTGTGTTTCGTATGGTTCATTTGCTTTCTAGAATTCTGCATTAACACTGCAAAATTCAATGCAATACAATAAAAATATAAGCAATAAAAAGTTAAAAAAAAAAAAAAAAAAAAAAAAAAAAAAAAAAAAAAAAACCTAGGGAGATTAAAAAGAATACACAAATAAAAAAGAAAAAAAGCTATTGTTATAGAAATGTAAGGAAAAAAATGAATAGTGATATAGCTTGAATGATGAAATATTAACTACAAAAAGGGAAAAAATGAATACAATGTTACAAAAAACTTAAATGAGAATATTAAAAGGAATAATGACAAAATCCGAAAAATGCAAGGAGTTTCGTTTAATATATATGTCTAAAGTAAAAGCTTTTACTCGATTTTTAAAAAAAAATCATTCTGAATTGCCAATTTGGAAAGAAATGAATGGTCAAACATCATTTTCTCGTATAAATTAAAATTCTTAATCAATCATTAATTCTAACTACATTCATTAAAAAAAACAAATGTTAGATTGTATACGTTTAGGGTCCGGAAATTTTTCAAGGCATTTTCAAAAGCATTTTCCAAATATCCACATTGAATTACTCACTACAATTTTTGTTAAAATTTTTTTCCATTTCCAGGGTGTTTGTGCTCCGGGGAAACCCCGGAAATTCCGGGGATCGTCGTTCAAAAGGAAGTAGGAATAATAATGAATTATTTATTTTGATCTGGGTAATTTTGTTTGCTTTGAAAGCAGAAAACGCAAGGTCAGTGTGTGTGGTGAAAACTTTTCCTTTCTTTCTCCAAAGGCAGTGATAATGCGTGAAAAGGGGGAAAAAACTTCTTTTTTGTTCTTTCCTTATTGCGAGTTATGACTCATTCCCCCGGTTCTCGGACATTCTCTTCTGGATTCTTTTCGGCAAGTAGGCGCGGCAGAAAAAAAAGGGAGAGACTTCGTTCGACCAGATGTGCGATCACGTGACTCTGGGTTCAAAGGTCTTATCTCTCCTGGTGTGGCGCCAATAAGTAGAGAAGGGGTATTTTTCGCCATATTAGCTATTTGTCATTGGTCGCTTCTCAACTTTTTTTTTTTTTCCGCTGTGTAAAATTTTTGTTTCATTTATTGATGCACGTATAAATTTTTCGTTTCGTATATTGAAATATTTTTTTATTTATGTACGCAAGAGAATTTCACTATGAAATTTCTCGATATAAATAGTGATATTATACAATTAGAAGAAGGTGTCCGGAATGCATTTAGGTGGAATTGGATTGAACGGAGAGATGGTAATGGGGATACCATCGGCACATGGTGCAAGAAAATAAATGTTGCTGGACAAGCATATTGTGTTTTTTGTAACTCACTGCTGAAGTATGGTGGGGAAGGATTCAAGGCTTTCACAAATCATTCTAAAACTGTGACGCACATAAAATATTCAAAGTGCATTAGACATTCAATGACTTTAAGTAATTATGCTAATTCAAAAAATACTGATGACTTACTGGAGACTGATGCTCGGCCATTGGATATAGTGACAAGAAAAGCACGCCAAGAGGTATTAATAACTTCGTTTATCGCCGAGAATTCTCTTTCTTTCAATGTAGCTCCCAATTTAATTGAACTCTGCAAACAGTTGAGCCGCGATCAGACGGCACTAAACTCGTTGGAAATGTCCAGGACTACTGCATGTTATAAGATGAAATATGGGCTCGCAAAAACTATTAAGGAAAATATCATTAAAACTTTAAAGGAGACTCCATTTTCTCTAAATTTGGATGAAAGTACTAGCAATGCTCAAGAAAGTATACTGGCAATATTGGTGCAGTTTTATGACAACAATCAAAATGAAGTTGTAGTTCATCATTTTGCATCTCTAAAGATGGAATCTTGCAATTCAGAAGCTGTTTTTAAAGCAGTTGTTAATACTATTGAAGATAATAATATTCCATGGGCAAACTTAATTAGTGTGTATTAATGGACTCATGTAACACCATGCGTGGAAAAAAAAAGGGTGTTGAAACCAGACTACGATCAAACAAAGCACCCCACTTATTAGATATTGATGGTGACACATGTCACACAGCTAATAACTGTGCAAAAAAATTTGCTTCATGTTTTGATAGATACTTAGAAGATTTGTTTGATGACATCTATTTTGATATGAAAAGCTGCAGTAAAAGAGAAAATTTTTTCAAAATCTGTGAATCCCTTGCCATTAAAAAACTTAAGCCCTTGAAGAGACCAGACCATAGGTGGGTGTACATTTTATGTGTTTTAGAAAGAATCAAAGATCTGTGGGATGCTCTTATTGCATTTTATTTTCACTACTTGGATAAAACTGATAAAGGGGATTATTTTTCTTATGTTGAAACTGTATACAATAAAAGAAATATTTCTGCAGCTCAGAAAAAAAAAAAAAAAAATGTTGAAGGGGTGTATTCTTGCTTGCATTCCCAACAACTCACAAAGGATGCTTTAGCTCGGAAAAAAAAAAATACTAAATGGGTTATTTGTT